CTGTTGTCACTCTCCCAAGGCCACCATCCCTCGTAAATGATGGTCAGACCGCACACCCAGAACCACCTAGGCAGCCTGGTGCGCCCAAGTTTTTCAAGCGCTGCGTAACAAGCGTTTCGCTCGAGACAGCCTCCGAATTTCAGAACGCAGGGCGCGCCATCCTCGAGTGGGCACTCGAAAAGCCAACCATATTTCTGCAAAATGAACGTTTCACCCTCGAGAAACATGCGCCTAGGGCGCGCCGTCCTCGAGAGAGAAGGCAAAAAAAAAAAACACGCTGCCAATGTATATGAAATTCGATTGTCTCCGAATCTCATCATTTATCGAACATTGTGCGCAAAACGCTTGGCACCTCTGTTTGACAAAGGAAAAGAGGGGCCTGCGGAAACCGTCATTTATCGAGGACCCGAGATTGGGGGCACTTTTCTGTAGAGGGCACGCGCGAAACGAATTTGCAACCCTCCCCCCCCCAAAAAAAACACCTTGTTTTCTATCGCAAATAATTTCGCCAGCCCTTGCCCAACATGGCCAGGGGGGTTACCAACAAAAAGACAACACTGAGCAGGAGCCCTTTCCGTGAAAAAAACGCCCACTGGATGAAAAACTTGCCCCCCAGGGGGGGGGGGAAAGAGTCGAGAACCCCAGGTGTTGTTCCCCGCCCGCTGGTTTTCGCAACAGAGGTATGTTCTACGAATGGTAGGAATAAGAAGACAGGCAGGCGAGAAGGAACATGTGTTCGTCGGCGGCGGGACAGAAGAACTGCTCCAGCGGGCGGGCGATCGGGGCAACCGATACGCTAAATGGCCGGCGTGCAAAGGGGAGGAAAAAGACAGACGGGGCCGGCCGCGAAGGACGGGAGGCGACGGAGGCACTCAGACGCGGAAGAATACCGAGCTGGGTGCGCCAGCGCGGCCAGCAGCGGCAGCGGGGGCCGTGGCAGCTACCGTGCTGCGGCGCCAGTGCATTCACGCTGGGCGAGAAGGAACGGACGATGGGACGACAGCAAGGGCACGCGCCAGCAGCTGCGCAGGCGCAGGCCAGCGGCAGGCCGCAGGTGCGGGCGCTGGCCCACCGAGCGCCAGGGCCAGCGGCTGAGAGAGGTCGAGCCGCTGGGGGTCTAAGAGGCCAGGGGCCCAAGTACCTCGCAGCTTTGAGGGCCCCCGAGCCAGGTGGTAAGGGATCAGGTGGGGACTTGGAATCCTCAAAGAATCACCGCCGAGATTGGAACACGGGCCCACCGTCAGTCTTTGTGACTCCTGGACCAAACCGCACGAGTCCCCAAACCAGGTGGAGACACCAAATCGCCCGAGATTCACCGCTGGGTGTTGTCACCACCATGTTTTGGAAATATCAAAGCTTGGCAAGGACGGCCTGTACTGGAACGGCTGCAGCTCCACACGCTGCAAGACGAAAGTGGGACGAGGGCAGATCTGGACGAGGACCACTTCGGATGAGGCAATGATAGGCCGTCGGTCGATCTTGGAGGCACGCTGGGGTCCAAGTTTCCCCCTCGGGGGCCTGGGATAGGTCTTTGCAAAAAACAATGGAACCTCCCCCAAAGGCCTCGTGGAGAGTTCCGCAGGCGCTTTGGAAGCGCTGCTTGAAGGTCATCGAGCACAGGGGAACATTTCGTGGACATTCCCACTCTCCCCCGGATTCAAAGTTGGCACGCGCGGGGAAGACTCCGGTCGAAGTGCATCTTATTAAGCCCACAGCCAACTTCGGTCATTGGGAGGGGCATTCACAAATGAATGTGGCTTGGATGTTCGCTAATTTCTTCCGAGGCCAGTAGGACAGGTCTTTTCAAAAGCTCTGGGTCCCCCAGGGCCTCCAGGCGGTTTCCGCAGGCGTTTCGGAGACGCTGCTTGAAGGTCATCGGGGACATCTGAGAAAGCCGGCGGGT